AATTTGAAATAAATAGGGTTTTAAAAAAAGGAGGGAAAATTTTCCTAAAAAATACCACTAGAGGCTCTAAAGAGCCTGTGTCGCTCAACTTGGTATATATATGCATATTCAACAAAGGACACTCTCCAACATTGTAGACGAGAATAGAATTCATGACAAAAATATCTGTTTAGTTGATCTTGTATCGCTGATCGTTTAGTTTGTTAAGTTTCTCTCTATCTTCTTTAGTTTTTGCTCAAAACACCAAAGAGGTTAAAAAAGTCCTCATTTAAGGGCAATCACTCCTATAAAGAGTGAAAGTCTACTGACTATATCAGCAAAATTTGACTTGTGATTAAATCATGTCTTGCTGAACATTTTTGTGATTTACAGTGTCTAATTATCTATTTTTATTTTTATTATATAAGGCAAAACACAAAAAAAATGGTAAAAGTCATCATTAAAGGGCAATTACTCCAATAAGGAGATGTCAGACGAATTCCACCGAACTGTCTTAATTGAAGATCTTTTAGTGCTGATCATTTTTGCTTATTTAAAATTCTATCTGTCTATTATGATTTTTAAGATATAAGGCGAACACGCAAAAATTGGAAGAAATTGTCATCAAAGGGCAATAACTCTAGTAAGAAGTCAACTGACGAATTCGACCATTCTGATTCATTTATAGATCTTGTCTTGCTGATCAATTTTGCAATTTACAGTTTCTATCTTTTATAGATTTCATGATAATAGTCAAAAAATGAAAAACAATGGTAAAATTTGTCATTTAAGGGCAACAACTCCTATAAGAAGTCGTGTGATAGTTTTGACATATATGGACTATTGGTAGAACTCAAAATTCTAAACAGTATTGATTATGTCAAATTTTATCTATTCATAACGGTTTTCAAAATAATAGACTAAACTTGCATTTTACCCCTATTTTCTATATTTAGCCATGTTGGCCATCTTGGTTGCCAGACAGGGTCATCAGACACATTTTTTAAGACTAGATACCCCAATGATGATTGTGGTCAAGTTTGGTTAAATTTGGTCCAGTAGTTTCAGAGAAGTAGATTTTTGTAAAAGCTAACAGACAAAAACGTTGGACGACAACGACGGATGCCAAGTGATAAGAAAAGCCAGGTGAGCTAAAAAGTTGTTTTGGCTACACTTTTCATGTGCCTTCAATGATAAGTTGTTAATTTTTGAAATGAACATCTTTCTGATTTTTTTTTGCTATGAGCATTCCTGATAAGTTGAATCCTAAAAGACACTTTGAAATATGCTGTGTTTGACTTGATGTACCAGGAATTTATCAAAGATTGAGAACTGCCTAATTTTCCCAGCTCTAGGATACAAAATGAGATGCTTACACAAAAGAGCAAGCTAAAGACTGACCTACAATAGACATGAGCAGTATTTCAGGAATGGATTCACACCAAAAGACTTACTCTGAAAAAAGGTCAATATCATATGAAATAAACAGCTGTGCGATGAGTGCATGATACCCCTGTCGTCTTGTGTGTGAATTTTTATGCAATAATCATAGATAGTTTCTGACATACGGCGCAACATGTGAAAACCCCCCTTTTTTTTACAAAAAACTCAATATCTCTAAAACAAAATTTTGAATCAAAACCAAAAAGTATACAGATCTTTAGATTAATATAACAAAGAAGTGTGTAAAATTTTAAGCAATAATCATAAATCGTTTTTGAGATACGGCGCGACATGCGAAAACCCCCCTTTTTTTTTTTACAAAAAACTCAATATCTCTTAAATAAAATTTTGAATCAAAACCAAAAAGTATACAGATCTTTAGATTAATATAACTAAGAAGTGTGTAAAATTTTAAGCAATAATCATAAATCGTTTTGAGATACAGCTCGATATGTGAAAACCCCCCTTTTTTTTTACAAAAACTCAATATCTCTAAAATAAAATTTTGAATCAAAACCAAAAAGTATACAGATCTTTAGATTAATATAACTAAGAAGTGTGTGAAATTTTAAGCAATAATCATAAATCGTTTTTTTTAGATACGGCGTGACATGTGAAAAAAACCCTCCCCCTTTTTTTTTACAAATACTCAATAACTCAAAAATAAAATTTTGAATCATCACCAAAAAGTATACAGATCTTAAGATTAATATAACTAAGAAGTGTGTAAAGTTTTTAGCAATAATCATAAATTGTTTTTGAGATACGGCGCGACATGTGAAAAAAAACACACACCTGTTTTAGTTACTAAGTCCCGTAACTCAAAAAGTTTTAATCTTATTTTCACCAAAAAGTATACAGATCGTTTGACTATCATAAGAAACAACTATGTTGAGTTTCATGAAATTTGGATAAGTCGTTCTCAAGTTACGGTGCGACATGTTTACGCCTGACAGACAGACGGACAGACGACATTTGTATACCATAATACGTACTGTCAAAATTTTGACCGGCGTATAAAAAGGCATATTAACACATAATGTTTAAAACTAATAAGAGAAATAAACTGTTCATTCATGTTTACAGAGGAACAGACTTAATCATGAAAACTTTAAAAAAGCTAATGGAACATGTAATATCAAAATCATTAAACAGAGGTCAGAGAGGCATACACTTTGGAAGACATGTCATGAGAGATCAAGTTCATAAAACACAGATTAGACAGGCATGCATTAGGAAAATATGTCATTTGTAAACATACTAAATCTTGTTGACATGTAATGTAAAATTGAGGAACAAACATATTAATAGATAGACAAACAAAATTACCTGAATCAACTTTTTATTGAAAACAAATTATAAAAATTATTAAAAAAAAAATAAAATAACATATTCAAATAAACATTAAAACTTAAATTAAACAAATAACAAGATCACTTTTCAATTAAATATTAAAATATAATAACAAAATATATTAAAATATGAGTATTTAACATTTTAATTTTTCACATCACAACCAGTAGTATACAATTGATTAGTTATCTGATGTTCTGTGAAATTTTGACCTATTAAAGAACAATTACAAATTGTCATTAATGAACACCAATCAAACTGTCACAATCTTTATTCAATATTGATTGTATTTTGAAAGATTGCTTATTCACTAAATTTTAATCATTTTTTACATTGTAAATAAAGTTACATTATAATTGCATTTCCAAAATAATGACATTGTTCATATTATTAATGGAGTATGAATGATATATCAGGCAGATTTTGAGTTCCAACAGCCATGTAAATCTAATGATCTCAAAAGTCTGAATTTTATATTATTTAAAAGTCTTGTACATTTTTTTTTAGTAATTTTGCAAACACCTCCACTTACATCAGAATATTCAGTTTCTTGTATTGTTAATTGAAATCTGTTCAGTCTGTTTTTAGATGTTCAGTAGCTGGTATGTACCTTTGTTTACAATTATTGTAAATTACAGAAGGGACTGCATAATTCTTCATTGACCACAAGTAATGTCTTAACCAAAATAAAGATTAAGAAATATCTGAATATACTTTTAAATTAAACATTACTTCCCATATTAATTTTCAAACATTATTTAGAAAATATCTTTACATGCTTAATCAGCAGAACAAATAAAAATTGAAATGTTATTTAAACAGTGTCATGGTGTGATCATTAATAAATTATTAATTATTCAATTTATAATTTAACATTCACAGCATGGCTTCCAAAACGGTCATATATTCCGGACTTGACCGAAATTTATATAAAAAGTCCAGCTGCTCTCAGCCTCAAACGGTCAAATATCATAGGTTTGCCACTATTGTTATTCAAGGCATTTTCATAAAACGGTCATTTCACTTTTTTTTACCAACTATCGATCGGTAAAAATGTCCGTTTGGGCATTATAGTTTATAATTGTGGCAATCTATTTCACAATTATATTTCAGTCATATTTGGGTTTAATTAAACAGATGCAGCATATTTCATACTTTGAAGTGTCTCAGTTAGTCTAATCATCTGGGTACACACATGCACGGCTTGGTACATCAATAAAAAGTAGAAAAAAAATTTGTTCTTTTATTTAAAAAAACAACAAGCTGTCAAACAATTATCCCTTCAATAAGTAATATTGAAGCCATAAATCATTCACTGATTACAGGTCATTACCTTTGATGGGAGACCTTAGCTTGTCTTAATCAATAGAATTGATGATGCATAACAATGAACATAAACAGGTGATAAAGGTGATCAGGTAAACGAGGTCAAACATGTAAGCGTGTATGGAACGAAACAACATCATATTTAATTACGCTTTGTAGATATTATTGTAAATGAGCATTCAGTTTTAAAAAAGTATCCTTAGATTTTAAAATAATTCTTCAAATAAGAATATTTATAAATGAATTCGAATTTGTTAACTCGAATAATTACAATGATATTCATTATTATATTTAAAAACACTGTACATTGTGTTAAATACTGGGGTACGCTAAAGGGTATTCAAAGTTATTTTCTTACATTTCAGCGGGTTGCATCTAATTAATTTATTCTAAAAGATTGAAATTATAAGAAATACGTTAATAAATATGATTTGATGAAAAATTTGAAAGGTTTTAAACGAATAATCGTCAGAACCACGTTGTTTGAACTAGTACACGTGTGCGCATGTGTCTATTGTCCGCTGGTGGGAAATTTAACTATGCATCCTAATTCTTCAATAATGCTAAAATTATCATTGATACCTTTATCTAACGTTCATTTCGAGTATTTTCTTGGAAGAAATAACTTGAAAAGGCTACTTAAGGTTCATCATAACAAATGGACAATAATGGCCGTATTTTCACCTCAAAAACTACTCTGTGTACAGACTTACCTGTACAGTTTGGAAAGTTTTAAGGCCTGGCATCCACTAGATATATAAAAGTTAAAATTACTTTGCATATCAGAAAGATGAAATCTTGTTTGGATTATGATGAGCATTTTTTTTTCGTTCCTGCAGAAGATGTAAAAATAATTGCGTATCCGTCTCTGATCCGTGATTTACCATTATCAAGTCAACATCAGGCATTAGGAAAATGTGATTTTAAAAACGAAAGTAAAGCTTTTGACAGCGTTATTTTGCACAAATAAAGAGTCTAAAGAGGAATTAAGCAGAATTAGTACACTGATGTTGCACACTTCGAATGCTGCACTTTCAATTTAACACTTTACGTCAGAACATCGAATTTATATCAAAGTAAAGTTTAAATCGTTTTAATGTCAATCATTGGTTATATCATATATGATGGCCAACTGATTATCATAGTTGCCTAATTTACTAAGTCTTAAGGGATAAAAAATCGGGATAAGATATGAAATGTCCGGCTGGCTCAAAAATATTTTGGAAGCCCTGATTCACAGTGTAGTTTCAGAAAAGTTGAAAAAAAAAATCATAAAATGTTATAATGACTAGTATATTCCATTGGAAAAATAACATTATACTTATTCTTCAGAGGAAAATGTTGCATATACATTTTGAATTCTTTCTAAAGACAAGGCTTCAGTTATGATTTTAAAATTCTTATAAATCAAATTCACATGCAAAATTTTTGAAAAATCTTTTGAAATAAATGTTATCACAAATAATATAAACATGGTACCTGGACATAAGTTTTATGTTAATATCACATGTATGTTTTCACTTTCCAATTAATTTGCTTTCTTTGTTTCTAAGGAAGCAAATCAGCATCAATCACATAATCAACAAATACAATATATAAATTTGGTTTTATCCAGAACTGATGTACAAGTATCCTTGGTTTTAAAATTTGCATCTTTAATCAAACGTTACAGTCAATCAGAACTCAACATGTTGAAAAAACTAACAAAAGAAGTTCATTTGTTGAAACTTTTAGTACAAAACTGTGTTGCTGTCAAAGTACCTTCAATTACTGTTCTAATCATATTCGTATATGAAATGTGCTGAAATGGTAAAAAAACATTAAAACATCAGGATGGATATCTAAATAACTTTTGAATTGAAAAAACAAACAAACAGAAAACCCACTCTAATAGTAGTAAAATTGAACCAGGAAAAGTAACCACAACATTTTTACCCCTCCCCCAAATTCTTTCTGTGCCAACTAAGCAGAAAGAGCCATGTAGTCCACTGGTAGCTGTCGGTTCATGAATGCTATAATTGCTGGTCTTTCGTTGTTTTTAAAATAAAATTTCTCTTTTGAATTGTTTCAGATTTTGTTCACCCTGTTTACTACACATTTTGGATTGTGCTCATTGTTTAAGGCTGTACAGTACTCCACAGTTGTTCACAAGATTTCTTTAAGTTTGGTTGATTTTTGTCTCATTATCAATCAAACTCAATCTCATTATTTTTATATTCTATAGAAATAAAGCCTGTTCAACACAAAAGACTTAGTTTTTTATTCGAACAAAAATCTTCAGTACCAAATGGGTTCCATTAAGTTAGAGTTCACTGATTTCACCTGTATTAGAGATATAAAAGTGATCTTATAAAAACAACAAATTATTTGAATCTGAAATAATTTTGAATTCTGGAATATATGATGAAAACTGACCCAATTTAGGGAAGTTAGCCAGGCATGCATGCATAAGAGGTTAGTTAGTTCATACTGAAATATCAATGAAAGTAAATTAAACCATAGCTACATGTATGCATGCATGGCTATGTTAAACCCCCATAGTTGGTTAGTTTTCATTATACATTTCTTATCAATTTTACAGAATTTAAAATTATTCCAGATTCAAATGATTCCTTTTTAAAATAAGATTTCATAAAATTAAGCTGTTTACTATAACAGTGTCAGACATCATTACTACATATGGTTTTTAAAGATATCACATTTTTTTTGCTTCTCTCATATACTTACTTCAGAAAATCTGGAGATCTAGATATAACATGTTCAAATTCTATGTACGATAACATTCCATCGTCATCAAGATCTGTCTCTTCTAATACCTGAAACATTCACAATTTTCTAATTTAATAACATTTTGATTTTACTGCCAACAATTCAGATTTACGTCTATCAATTTATTTTTTCTCTTAGGTTTTTGCAATAGCTATTCTGAGAATAAAAAATCCCATTTTAAGGAAAGACATTTCCCTATTTTCTTCACATGCCTTTCTATAGATAAATTTATTTACACTGATATCTATATCTTAGAGAGAAAGGATAAAGAGAAAATTCACTTTTGGGCTATTCTGAAATTCAAAGTTTAAGGTGATCACTTATCATAAAATTGCAATTAGAAACTTGTGTAAAAAGTGTTTCAAATCCCTCTTCCCCTTATATTGCAGTCACTGGATTTTTTAAAGGTATAGCTATTTTCAAAATTTTTGCTTTGAATTTTTTTGTTGATAATTTTCAATATCAAGCTATTCAAATGTCAGGGAATTTCTCAGTCGAAAAAGAATGAGAACAGGATGACATCATATGCCAATCGCTCTTTGATGGAATTTCGTAGGTAATTGATTAATTAATAATCTTTCAACTCTTTATTGACGGGTGCCACATGTGGAGCAGGATCTGCTTTCCCTTCTGGAGCACCTGAGATCACCCCCAGTTTTTGGTGGGGTTCGTGTTGCTCAGTCTTTAGTTTTCTATGTTGTGTTTTGTGTACTACTGTTTGTCTGTTGGTCTTTTTCTTTTTTAGCCATGGCGTTGACAGTTTATTTTCGACTTATGAGTTTGAACGTCCCTCTGGTATCTTTCGCCTCTCTTTCTCAGTTCATGTCATCTCAGGGCAACGCCCATCATAGTGAATGTAGCCAAGAAATTCTCTCTCATTTTCAAAACCAAAGATAATTCATAAATTTTTAAATTTTTTTTCTTTTCACCAGTACTTACTTGAGAAAACCTTGAGATCTAGATACATCCCTATCATACCAGATCTCCTTATTTTCGATATTATTGATATTAAATGCCTACCAAATTACTAAATAATTAACCAGTAATAGCTCTTAAATTACAGATATTATATGAAAAGACCTAAAATATCCAAGAGATCATTAATATGCAGAACAAAATAGAATTCTTAAAATATTTCATTCTATTATATACTTAGTAGTAAATACAAGTAAATTGTATGTGTAATCCAATGATGGCAATCATGCTGTATCAGCCAACCATGATGATATCGATATCAGTCACGGTTGCAAAGGCTTTATCAAACCCCTAAACTGTATGACGTCACATAATCGATATCAGTCACGGTTACAAGGGTTTTATCAAACCCCTTATATATGTTTTACGCCATGTCATGTGAAAAATAAATGGGGAATGTGTCCATGGGATTCAGATGATGCCCCCGCTTGCATATAACGTTATAAAGGGCCATAACTCAAGAACTGTAAAAGTGACACTACCCAAATTTGAACATGATCTGAGTTTTGTGGTAATAAGCATTGTTTATAAGTTTCATAACATTTAGTTGACGTAAACTTAAATTAGAGAACAGAAACGATAAATTCAACAATTTTTCCATTTTTAAAGGGGCATAACGCTAGAACAGTAGAAGTGACACCACCAAAATTCAATCTTTATCTGTGTTTTGTGGTAATTGGTTGAGGCAAACTAAAGTTAGAGAACAGAAACTAATATTTCAGCAATTTTGAGATTTGTAAAGGAGCATAACTCTACAATGGTAAAAGTGACGCCACCAAAATTCAAACTTGATCTGTGTTTTGTGGTAATAAACATTGTGGATAAAAGCAAATCACTAGCTAATAATACAGAAAAAGATGATTATGTTAAATATGTTTGTCTTGAATGTATGAAATTTTGATGATCTTTGATAGTAAAATGCAAATGTTAAAATTAAAATTGCAATACTTTATTATGTTAAATATGCAAAATATATAAACCATGTCTGAAGAGCAAGGACAAGTTATCTCCACAGAAATGAGTTATGCAAATGCTGATACAACTGCATACCAAATATTGTAAACCTTTTTAAGTGGTTCTCCTTAAACTGACTAATCACAAACTGTAACATGTAAACTATGCAGAGTTTTATATTCAATAAACCATGACTTAGGGGCATGGGCAATATAATCTCCAAGGAAATTGTATATGCTTATGCTAATGCTAATACAACGAATACCAAATATCATTGACTAGCCATTAGTGGTTTCCCTTAAACTGACCTAATCACAAACTTTAACAAATTTTTGACACTGCTGAACCAGCTCGAAACAGCACATCAAAGTCTCTTCTTTAAATGAATGAAGATAATAGTTAGTTATTCTTTCTTCAATATCTCTCCCTTATTTAATGCCAGGCTACTAAATCAGATTGATAACAGCTGCAATCAATCGGCTACACATGACTCATTCAAAGAGAATTACAACTAAACTGCCTCGAGAGTACTTTATGTATATAAAGGCTTCATACTTTATCAACTATAAACTGTTTTTCGTCATCAGACAGTTCATTTTTAGTGAGACAGGTCAGGGTCCTCTCCAAGTCATCTCTTCCTATGAAGTTATCACAGTCAAAATCTAAAACGAAATGAAAAATAAAAACATAAAGCAATTAATCTTTAACTTTAAACAATCAATATAATTAGTTACCAGGTATTCATCATAACTCCACACAATAACTGAATACTATCAAGTATTTTACAGTATTTAAACAAAACTTGAATGGTAAAATTTATTTTCCAAAGCCTGTCACATTAATATTCAGCTTCAATATTCAACTTTTCCATCAGCTTGCATTAATTTATTTTCTCATAATTGACCAGGAAATAATTACTATAAGAGGGTCTGGATGGGGGTCCTTTATTTCTTTAGTTTCTACTTTACTTTAATTTTACAGGACATTTCTATCTTTTCTTTATTTAATTGGCACATTATTCTCTTATTCTTTTTATTTTAGAACCAATGATTCTCTACATATTCTTTATTATTTTCCCTATTTTTGTCTATTCTATATTTTGTTGGCCCTTTATACTTGATTTTTTCCCGCTTATTCTCTATTCTGTTAACCCCATCCACACCCTGCAGTAAAGGCAGAAATATTTGACATGTTATTATCATTGCGAAAATTGTGACCAGATAAGTTTTGCAAAAATAAAAACTAGCATTCTAAGATTTGATAGCATTATTTGTATGCCCCAATTCCTGAAATTGCAATAATTAATCTCACATTTTTGTTTGATTTTCAAAATTGAAATAATAAATGCATGCAAAAATTTCCGAATTTACTGTGCATTGATATTGATAAAAGTTGGCAATACTTCAGTTTAAAAAAGCCTATGACTGCTGTTGACTTAAGGATGTTTGCTCCTCACGTTTTTGACTTTTTGTCAGATATTTGGAATCCTCTAGTTTTATCCATGTAGTGCCAATAAAAATTGTGCCCCCTAACCCCTACTTTTCGTTTCATAATTTTATTGCGTATAGTTTAAATAGCCATATTTGAAAATCTTATAAAATCCTTGTTATTTTTTCATAGTTTTTGAAAGAAAAAAGGTGCCAATATTAAATGTATGAAAAATCTAGAGAGAATCATTTCCCGCTAAATTTTCAATTGATTATATCTCAAAAACAAGGACACTGACCTGTCATTTTTTTCTACTTTTTAAGTTTCATTATTTATATACTATCGATTTATAACAGTCTTTTAAAAAGCTTATTATTTTGGAACAGATGAGCAAATATCCTTAAATATTTAACTTACAGTGCTCAGTAGGAAGTACATGTAAATGTTAACACAAATCTAAGTCAGATCTTAAATATAATGTAACATTGTTCACAATCATTTTGTTTGTACTATTAAATTATTTTTGTTGTTTATTATACCGCTACTTACATTTTAGGAGTTGTGAGTTTTTATTGTATGATGTTCTATGTAACTTTTCTCAGCCAACTGATTTAGATAAAAAGAGGGAGGTTTGATCACAATAAACAAGCTTAACTGGCAAAATGTTCATGTCCCAAGTCAGTAACCTCGTTAGTAATTATCTTTCGTCATATTATACTGTAATATTTTTATTTTGAAAAAAATTGCTGTCAATGGCAGATGTTAAATTTATTCTCCATTTTCCCAACCTTGAATGCAATACATTTTAAGCTAGACTTATTGTATAGACACCTCTCTAAATGTTGAACTTTAAATGTCTTTTTGTTTGTGTGTTTTGTGGTTGCTGTCTCAGACAAATAGCCCACACCTCCTTTTTTTTCATTTAAAAATTGAAATTTGCTATTATTAATGCATTTGCAAAGAAAAATACTGATTTTGTTATTCTCTTGATGTATTTGAGTAAGGAAGATGTGTGTTTTAGTCATTTGCCATGATTTACATTCCCATTATTTTTTCTACTCACGAAAAATATATTGCTCTCGAAACTAGCTGGTTTACAGTATTCAATTTTGTAACTAATTGTAACAGCTGTCGTACTGACTGATACTTATTTGATGGTAATTATTTCCCTAATGTGTGCCATACCATAAATTTTAAAGGCATATGTAGTTTTAATATCTCTTGGAGCTGCTTCAGAAAACACTGAAAACATGTCCAGGAAATCGTCAAATGACATGTCACCAGATCCATCTTCAGAAAACACTTTACAGATTCTTTCTTTAAATGGATTCTCCTGAAAAAAAAGAAATTCTTATTGAAATTAATTTTTTTATTCTAAAAACAGTTAAATCACAGTGTACAATAGACTACCCTGCCTATTATGAAGAGGTTATATTCTTCATCAATGTAATATCAGTAAGTTGTTTTGCTATGTTTAGTATCTGTTTCAAGAAATATAATGATGAGAGTATATCTCAACAAAATCAATCAGAAGTCCAACAAAATGGTAAATACTATATTAAGTAGATATTGAAAGAAAATTGGTTTTATACTTTTGTAAATTCTAACAGTCTGAGGATGATATCCATGATAAAAGGACTCAGTTGGTGCGATCAGGGTGCATCCCGTAGATGAAAGTGTTCATGAAATATTGAGTCTATGAAAAATTAAGAGTCTTTAGGAGAGTCCTGTTGCTGCAACTGGAATGGACCACACATTATCCACACTCACATGAATTAAACAATAAGTCCTAGTTATTATCTGTCATTATGTCGAACAGATGTAGTTTTAAGACTTAACTGGAACAAATTAATTTATGATTAAAATTAACACACACATGGTTTGTATAGAAATTGATTGAGTTTTTATTATTTATTATATAATTATTATTTATCATAGAAATTCTTGGAAATTAAAATTTTTCAGCTACATGTATAGAAAGGATTCAAATGCTTCTTGTTCAAATATACTTTTAATATTCACTGTATAAAATATATACCTTGATCTCGGTCATTTTCTCTACTTCAGGTAAAGGAATTCTAAATGAGTTAGTTTTTCCATCTCTCATATCTTCAGGAACATTTCCTGGTGATAACATGCGATAACGGTTGAATATTCTGAAAAAATTGTTTGAATATGCATGTGATATTATCTTACTTAATTCTTTTATTATTTCTTTCTAATAAAAACAGGTCAGCACTGTGAACAAATGTGTTTGTTGATGATTCACTCTGAAATACATGTATATCTCCATATATCCAAAAGATATTATATGACCGGGTTGCAAATTATATTGTTATCAGCTTAAATCACCATCAGTCACAATGTTTGTTCTTAGCTTATAAATCAAATACCATCATGCATCATTTTTTCAACAAATTTACCCTGTTTGTACTTTACTCACAATTTCCACTGTTTCATCCAATCCTTTTCTTCAAACTAGAGGCTCCAAGGAGCCTGTGTCGCTCACCTGAAATTTTTTTTACAATTGATGCATAAAATAATGCTACCATTATACTTTTGCTTTAGTTTCAGAGATATAAGCCAAAAACTGCTTTTTATCCCTATGTTCTATTTTTAGCCATGTCGGCCATGTTGGTTGGCTGGCAGGGTCAAAGGACACTTTTTTTAAAACTAGATACCCTAATGATGATTGTGGCTAAGTTTGGTTAAATTTGTCTCAGTAGTTTCAGAGTAGAAGATTTTTGTAAAAGATTACAAAAATTTACGAAAAATTGACTTTAAAGGGCAATAAATCCGGATCCTTAAGGTTTCAATTGACAATTTTGGTCATGTTGACTTATTTGTAGATCTTACTTTGCTGAATATTATTGCTGTTTATAGTTTATCGCTATCTATAATAATATTCAAGATAATAACCAAAAACTGCAAAATTTCCTAAAAATTACCAATTCAGGGGCTGCGAGCAACCCAACAACGGGTTGTCTGATTCGTCTGAAAATTTCAAGGCAGATAGATCTAAACCTGATAAACATTTTTACCTGATATCAGATTTGCTCTAAATGCTTTAAATTTAGTATAAATTAATACTGACTTAATTCGAATTCTGTCTGCATGTTGTGGTTTTTAATATTGTGTATGAGTTTTATAAAATTTGAATGAGGTAAACTTAAGTTGGAGTGTGGAAACAAAAATAAAAATCTGATTTTCAAATTAAAACGGGTTATAGCTCTAGAACCGTATGTGACTCACTGCCCAAAGGAGTTGGTTCACCAACTCATAATTTTGGCCCTAAAAACCTGATTTTTCTTAACTGCAATAAAGTTGTGAAAAGTATATCAAAACATATGTTAAAATGTCCCAATTGTTTCAGTTATAAAAGATTTTTGACCAATGAAGTCATTAGTGATGTATTTCTGATGTCATAAATTTAGGTGAATTTATGAACTCCTGATTTTTGACATAAATTGGGAAAATTTATGTTAGTTTTCTGAAAAATTAATAGTGGGGCCACCCCTCACCCCCAAATATTTCAAATATACCATATTCTCTACTTTTCAATCAAAATTTTAATGGGCGAGCTGTGGCGCCACATATCAAATCATGTTAAAAAATGTGATGAATTTCTAAACAATTGGACTAAAATGAAATCAATACCTATTTAGGCTAATATACTTATAATATATATGAAGCAGATATACATTTTTCATATTATACTTCTCAAAAATTATACATTTAGCAATACATACACAGTAAATTTACTCGAACAATTGAAATTTTCAAAATACATCTTTTCAGGGCCGTTTATTGGGGTTACTGGCTCTACGTCTTTGAACCATGTACATGTAATGTAAGAATTGTGAAAGTTTCACAAAATTCTGTTCAGCCATAAAGGATCAGTACAAGAATTGACAGAATACAAAAGTTAGACAAAAGGATAATTAGATGGACACTAGCATCACTTCATATAGCATAAGCTTGAATAACCAGGGTATAAAATAGTGCATGTTCAAAAATGTAAGGTTAAAAAAAGTTGAATTCTTTTGCAGCAGCCACATTTGAGTATGGTATTGAAACTGATAAATTTTTTTATTATAATCTTAACATAAATCAGTTTTAAAAATACTCTGGAAAAATAACCTAAGGAAAAACAACCAGATTGTGAACCTTTCAGCATCGACATGTATAAATTATAAAAGACTTACCTTAAAATTTCTTTTCTTGTGAAAAATGTACAATCCTAAAAAATAATTAAATTTAAGATTTAAACCATGTTCACAGGCATGACAGGATAACCATTTATTTTGTGATAATTCTTATATGATTTGCATATTAGGAAATACGTTTATATTATTGGTCGAGAGGGCTTCCGGTTGTGGCTCTTGACGTTATTTATTTTTTGATAGACGTTGACCGAACTTCTTTCTGTAACCAATTAACAAGATGGGGGGCGATAATAACACAAACCAGCTCGATGTTAAAAATATTCAATGTAAAGATGAACGCCAAGTGAAAATATTTATTTTCACTTCATGTTCATCAATAAATTAAACAATAAACACAAAACATTCATTTGAATGATGATTAGATATTTTTGTCATGTTTGTAGTTTATTTTTTTCAGACAGCAAATTTCATGAAGTACTTTTTTTTTAAGTTTACCAAAAAATATATTCATCATGTTCATGTGTCAGGCCAATTCAATGACACAAATATAGAATTTATGTGTGATATATAGAGGTTACGAGTCGGAAAGTTAAATTCCTTATCTCCAATTTTGAAGAATTATAAGGATTAGGCCACACCAAATACATTTCTATTTCTTCGGATTCTTTCCTTTGAAAAATGGTAGCGAGAGCGAAATTTTTTCATTTTTTTTTCAAAGTTTGATTTTTGACAGGCAATAAATTTTTTACCAGAGAGCATTATTATTTTTTGAATTTTTTTTTTTAAATCTATGAAAAGAATTTTTACGCAAGCGAGCGATCAGAAATTTACATCTAGTTTCAGTGCTTCATATTTTATATATCTCATATCCTAGTTCTTATATTGCCCTACTTTGCTTCTCAATTTGTTCTCTGACATACAGTTTAAACTTTTCACAACATTTCCAAGTATAAAATGATTAATTTGTAGCAAAACCTTTAATGTTGTGTAGTCTGATCAAATAAATAAGATCCTGTTGAACATCAAAAAGTGCAACAGATTTGAATAGGCATGCATCCATGTTTAATGTAAGTTATAATTGATGCGTTGAATGTTTTTTAAATTAACTATGCAAAGCATAAATGGATGTATAAAGCATGTATATACATGTACATTCATAAAAATTTGTGTATACAACAAGCTGAAAATTAATAATGGACTGTCCTTCATAAACCACACCAATTTATACCATTCAAATGAACCTGTCAGATGCTACATGTATATACTAACTAAACAAAAGGAAAATTTCAATACATTCCACTTTAGTCATTGCTTTCCTGTAGAATTTAATGACAATCAAATCAAATTTATAAATATATATATATAAGTACATGTACGTCTGAATCAGTGACAACTCTACAACAGATTTATCCATCAGATCACCAGCAGTGATGGTGATACATGGCTGTGTACATTCTGTATATACAACTCGTCTACACATCAGCCCAACAATGTTAGATCTGTAAATTTGCTTTCGCAATTTTTTTCGCAAATTTACAGATCTAACATTGTTGGGCTGATGTTTAGACGAGTTGTATATATATATATATATACATAAACAAGTCCAAATTGAAAACAACGTTCAAAGACTACAGTGTACTATATCTGCTTTTGGATTCTCTTTTATTCTTATGCACATGATGCATGTTATATTGTCATAATTTAAATCTTTCAATTCGGTTGTGTTGTTGCTTTGTTGTTTGATCTTGATAGGTATGCCTTTGCAGACGAGGATAAGTCTGTTTAGGGGTTTACGATTCTTATGGGATGGTAGTAACAGCTGGTCTAAAAATTTCCTGGGTCGTAATTGTAGTTTGATGTTATAAATGTTTGTGTTCTTGCACGGAGCACTTCCAAAAAATCGGTAAAAAAATTGTCCAAATCATATTCTACAAATATTTCACTCATGTCTTACGTTAAGAATTAATATTGTAACAACAATGTTAGAACATGAATATTAGGTCTAGATCGTTTTTTATGTCAATTTCCGTGTCTTTATGGCATTACTTTCAAACTCACAACTGATCAAAATATTTGTTTCATAAATTTAAAGATGGACGGGCGCGGCTCCATACAGGACGCAGGTTTTTATAAAAAGTACTTTTATCTGGTTGACCTTTCACAACACATGGGAAATCCGACAAACAAGGTATTAATTTGGCATGGCCTTAAACATATTTTTAAAGGCGTTTAATCCTATAATACATACATGTATAGTCAACATTCCTAATTACATGTACATTGTATTTCGAATGAAAAGTTACATGCAAGCATAGAACCAATGATATACATGTGTTGACTGTGGTTCGTGACAACCTGGCAGTATTCAGTATGTTCAGAGCATTTGGGTATTTATCTCATCCTGTTGGAAACCAATCAAGAATTGGCACAGCTACATGTACTCTGCAAGCTTAATATAAATAAGAAGACTTAGTATGAGTTCCAATAAGACTCTCTATCCAAGTCACAATGTATAAAAAGTTAACAATTACAGGACAAAGTACGGCCTTCAACATTGAGACTTGGCTCACACCTACATTTTGTAACAGCAAGCTATAAAGGGCCCCAAAATGACTAGTGTAAAACAATTAAAACAGGAAAAACAACTGTCTCATCTACATGTATATACAAAACAAGAAATGAGAAACACTTATTAACCACACCAACAATAATTTGACAGTGCTATATCTACCGCTGTATCAAAGCCAGTATTGTCTATTGGTATCCACAATCACAGGCACATGAGTTCTGTCAAAAGTAATAAAATATGGGCAATGGGAAGAAAGTAGTGTCCATGTATAAAAAAAAAGAGATTTTAGGCAGAACGTATTCATACAAATGGGTCTTATTAATTAGAGACAAGAAGAAACAAATAAGCGACAAGAAGAAACAAATTAGCGACAAGAAGAATAATTTAGCGACAAGAAATATAATTTAGTGACAAGTAAACAAATTTAGCGTAAAAAATCTAAACATGCTAAATATCAATTAATCTAAATAAATAGATTTTGAAACATTCATCGAAATATCTTTTTTTAAATGCTCGATACAAGCGTATAAAATTAGGTTTTTTTCCTTAATTTATCAAGGATATGTTATGAAAGATAATATACCTTTAGTTTACAGCATACTGTTTATAGTATATAGATGAATGAATCAATATTTATGTAGAGTCGGCATGGTTGGTGTTAGAGTTAAGATTATAATCAAATTATAAATTAATACAATCTTGATTTATTTCAGACTCAAAAGGACAATACATATATATAAATATATGACACAAATTTTTCTGTCTTAACAGGATAAAAGGTTCAAAAAAAGTATATGTAGACTCATGAATGTTTGGATAAAAAAGGGTGGTATTTTTTTATTTCTTTAAATTTTTAATTTCCATTTTTCTCTATTTTTTATGGATCCTAAGTATAATCAGATGATTTTTTTTTCTATAAATCTATTGTTTTAATAGTAAATAAACTTTATTGTCGCTATTATTTTCTTCTTGTCGCTAATTAGTGAGACCGATACAAATACAGATATAATGGACTTGTCCAAGGCTTTTGACTGCCTACCCCATGACCTCCTCCTACTAAAATTAAAATCCTATGGTGTCTCCGCTTCTTCTCTTAAACTTTTGGAAAGCTATTTAACTAATAGAAAACAGTGTGTTAAAGTAGGTACTAATTCAAGCTACTGGCAAACAATGTTTAAAGGGGTGCCACAAGGGTCGATATTAGGGCTAACATTATTTAATATCTTTTTAAATGACATTTTCTTTTTTATTCATAAAAGTGAACTTTATAATTATGCAGATGATAACACCCTTTCATACGCATATAAAGATTTAGATAAATTAATTAATACTCTAGAAGATGAAAGCAAAATTTTGATAAATTGGTTCTCAATAAATAAAATGAAAGCAAATCCAGAAAAATTTCAAGCAATAGCTGTAGGTAAAAAAACTAAAGACAAAAACCTAAAATTTAAATTAGAAGGTAATGAAATAGAATGTGAAGATAACGTTAAACTTCTAGGCGTAACAATAGATTTTAAACTAAATTTCAATGAACATGTCTCTATAATATGTAAAAAAGCATCCAAACAGTTTCAAAATGTAAATGTATTAAAAAGAATAGGAAAACACCTGACTAAACTCGGAAAATTAACAATATATTATTCTTTCATAATGTCCAACTTTAATTACTGCCCACTAGTTTGGCACTTTTGTGGGGAGGTTAATACAAAAAAGATAGAGAAAATTCAAGAGAGAGCACTAAGGTTTATCTATGAAGACTATTCAGCAAGTTATGAAGATCTACTCTGCAAATCAAAATTACCATCTTTAAAAATAAGAAGAATGCGATCATTGGCTATTGAAGTTTTCAAAATTATTAATGAAGATTGTCCTGTTTATCTCCATGATTTAATACACTTAAATGAAAACACTTACTCTTTCAGATACCAGAATACAGCCGACCTACCACATGTAAGAACAACTGCATACGGCCTACAATCTTTAAAGGTATGCAGGTGCTAAGCTTTGGAATGAGCTGCCAGATGTGCTACGTAAGCAATCATCTTTAAATCAATTCAAGAACTTGATAAATTTTTGGTCTGGCAGCTCATGCCAATGATTTGCCTGCAAAACCAGTTAATTTCTGTTCATTATTTTTGGTTTAATGCTTTATTTTCAGCATGGCAATTTTATTTTATTATCGTTACTATAGTGCTTCTGCTGCTTTGTGTTAGTTTTATTAACTAACTAATCTATATGTGCTTTTAATGTGCAAACCATATTATTTTTGCGTTTGTGCTTTTATCTCACAAGTGCATGTTTCAGTGTGTGTTTAACTTGTAAGATGCTTTTAAGAACTTTTGTGCTGCATGTTTATATACTGATATGAACTCTTGCTTTATATGTTTAATTTATGTGTGCATGACTTGATATGTATGTTTTGTTTTATTTGTTGCTCTGTCGGTTTTAAAAGCTCTTCAGAGCTTATGTTTTATACTTGTATTTGCACATACCGACTCTAAATAAAGCTTTATGTCTTATGTCTATATGTTAACTACATGTACATGTACTAATGACTAATGTATTCCAAAAAAATTATTATGACGTTTTGACTTTTGTAAGGTTTTTTGATAAAAAAAAATTGGCGCCTTTCTTAGGAAGGCGTAACAGAAAAAAAAAATTAAAAAATAGCCTTTCTAGACCGCATAATTATTTGGACTAGTACTATAATGATGTAGCATAAATTTGTGCATCTCAACCATTTAGCAGTTTAGGACGACGATACTCGGATTCCCGGTCAATATAGATAAATTACTATGCAAGCTTAATTGAAACCTGATATGCATCTAGTTGATCCTCTGTGAAAGTTGATATTTTGTTGCCCATGTTACATCATTTAAAAAAAAAACACTGATTTTTCAACTTTTCACAGTAAGTAATCAGTTTTTCATCGAAAATCAGATGACTTCCGCTTTTGAAAAAACTAAAACTTTGTTGAATAGGATACACACAGTTATATTTCCGGATGTCTAATAGGTGTCATCTTAGTCCTATAATATAAGACTTCGGAGTTTCATATCTCATTTACATTCAACGTTTTTTATCGGATATTTTTTTTTTTACTATCAATGTTGAAACCGAAAACGTTGAATGTAAATGATATGAAACTCCGAAGTCTTATATTATAGGACTAGAGTACTAGTGTCAAGCTATCCAGCAATTCTCATCCTGCAATTCTCTTTATAAAAAGCTATCCTGCAATTCGTCATCCTGCAATTGCGTTTGGAAAACTACTTGAGCGACAATTTTCTTTTTCTTTAAAATCATAGTTTTTGACTTTTTTGTTCGAAAACAAGATTTATATAGAAAATCAAAGATTTTTATATCCCATTAATGAGGGGCGCAAATGGGGGGTGGGGTATCTGCACGGAAGAACGCGAAATAAAATTGCCAGACTAAAATCAACTAAAACACATCCCAGGGATTTTGTATTTTAACGTCATGGACAGTCAAAGAAGACATGACTTGTGCAATGCCAAAAATAAATGTATCGACAGGCAGTCAATGTCGTAACAGAGACATATAATACAATTGTATTATATGTCTCTGGTCGTAACTACCATTGAGACAAGTGAGCGTGTATTTGTTTATGGTAATTAAATACGGAATATAGTCATTTTTATTCTGTCTCAACCTTAATTTCTATAACTTGACATCGTTCCTTTTAAATTATATTTCCCAGTTATAACTCAGCATCTCACCGGGTTTCTCGATTACATTAAACTAGTAACCGGTAATCATCATGGATCTCCGGTTAAAACAGGCTCTTGCAGAAAAAGGAAAAGCGATACTGGAGGTGAGGAAAGAATAATTCTAGTAACTAATGGATGCTATTTGTGATCACAACAGGTGTTAAGAGTTCCAGTATTAACAATCGAATAATACCCCCTCATTATTCGATTGTTGATCTAAAACGATTTGACAAAACCTCTGTAAGTAGCACATACACAGACATTAATACTGGTATTCATTATGATTTTGTTATCAGTAAATTAAAATCACACTTAATATTATTTTTATATACATATGCACATTCATGGCTCTACAATTTGTAGATACCTGTTTCATGGCATTACACACGGTAATGTTTTCTCTGACTGTTAATGACGTCTTTACACTTAATCCGTTTGTCGTTGGATGTGTACTGATTGATATGTTAGTCTCTTATGCATGATTTTTTTTTTATTTTTTAGTTGTTATTATATTTGAACAAGGTGTCAGTAACTGCGAGTACTCTCAGATTTGTACTTAGGGTCTTTTTGTTGTGGGATGCATAAGTACCCTGTCAAGTCCACTCGGTGTTTTTGTTAGATGTATATTCTGCTTTGTATCGATCTGATGAAATTGTTCAACCAACTGATTTTTATAGTTTGTTCTTATGTTGTACTGTTACACCACCGTCCCGGGTTAGTGGAAGGGTTGGCGCGCCCTCAAACTAGTTTAACCCCGCAACATTCTGTATGTGCCTGTCCCAAGCCAGGAGTCTCTAAATTCAGTGGTTGTCGTTGGTTGCTGTATATCATATTTGTTTTTCGTTCATCATTTTTACATAAATCAGGCCGTTAGTTTTCTCGTTTGAATTGTTTTACATTTTTCACTTCTGGGCCTTTTATAGCTGACTATGCGGTATGGGTTTTACGCATTGTTTGAGGCCGTACGGTGACCTATAGTTGTTAATTTCTGTGTTATTTGGTCTCTTTTGAAGAGTTGTCTCATTGGCAATCATACAACATCTTCTAAATTTTATATGTCTAAGTGAATAATTATTGGACATTTCGCATAGAGATGAAAATAAAACATAAACATCTTTACCTGAACGGATATTTCAGATGTTATCAAAGCTTGCTGTCATGTCTTTTAAACCGTCGAACAACAATCATATATCATCCTATATATGTTTGATCTTGATCAATACTGCATTGAAATACTGATATCTATAATTTCATTTACTCAAAGACATCCGTTTTTAGCGATGCCATATAAATTGATATTGTTAAGGTTTTTATGTAACAAATAAAGTACTGTCATATTTGTCAAATTGTTTGTCATAGTTTGCAAATTTCTTCATTTAGTACCTTAAAAAATAAAAAAAAATAAATCTAACAATACGAAATGAAATAACAAATTTTTTAATTTGGTATGTCCGAATGTATTTTCCGGGTATACATATAATCAATCAATTTATATGTTCTATTCTATCAATTCTAATCCTTAATATAACTTAATATATCCTATGATAAATCGGTAAAATTCGGAATAAGCTACAGTGCACCAGTATGAATAGCCTACTAATAAAAAATACGACAAAAGAAAAATGGGCAATCAAAACTACTGACGTCAATTTTCTCATTAATTAAATAGGGAAGCGGCCATCAGAATTTTGTAAAATTCATCAAAGATACCAGGCTCAATATGTAGTATCAAGACGAGCGTTCGGTTTACATAATCACACCAGTAGCACTTTGATCAGAATTGTTGGAAGGCCAAATCATATACAAAGTTGAACAGCATTAAAAATCAATACTACGAAAGAAAATATGCTAAATAAGGCTTAGGCACCTATTCCTAGGGGTAGATAATCCTTAATGTGTAGAATAATTCAACATTTTATCAACAGGGAATTTACTGAAAAAACATAAATCAATGATATCATTATACCAAACAATAGTGCTGACTGTAAGCAAGTGACCATGCTACTTAGTATAATATTTCAGCCAGCTAATACAATTTCGTCTATTTATATGAGGTTTATTTTTTTATTTATATTTCAGTGTGTGCACGGTTTGTGAAGTTTCCCCGGTGCTCTCTGTCATCTTTCGTTACATCGGTTATTTGTAAGTATAAACGTTAATTATTCAAAATGAAAACATTCACGATTTTAGTCCATAAGCAATACTTTAACTCACTTATTTACACTTTAAGTGTAGTACATATCATTAAATTGAAATGGGAAATAATTCCAAGTCGAGCAACGGATGAACTTCATTAAGTCGCAAGTCCCCCGATTCCAGCGCTTATGTCTTGACAGAAAAATAGATTCATCACTGAGGAATAACCGTATTATTTAAATTAAGAAAGTTTGAACTTTAATTCAATAAGTATTTTGCTATTCCATCTACGAGATGCTCCGAATAATATCACTTTCGAAAAATCTTAAATGTAATGCACGCTGCCTGTCAATCTTTTGTTTATTTTGCATTTTATTTTTGACATAATTTACTTAATGAAAACCTTTTGTTCAATTTTAGGTTGTTTTCTTATCGAATATGTTGATTCTGTTGGTATAGAAATTGTTCCTATTACAATGTTTCTGATGTACCTTTATGACTGTATAAGTATTTAATTGAATTGTATAATAATAATGAAAGGAATTTTAATTTATTAATGAGAGTTGAACACTTTTTTGGGAAAAAAAATCAAGCGAGAACAATGTTTGCCAAAACCAGAGTTTAATCATATCAAATACATACTTAATGAACATGTTTTCCATCATGATACGTTTACTGTTACGACCGACCGGTAGGACCTTAGTTTAATGCTTTCTTGGTGCATTGTTGTGGGAATCTTAGTGAAATGCAAGTGAAGTAATAAATGTTCACATCGACTTTTGTCTTTGGTAGCGTGGTACTCTTGTATTCCGTATAACACCTTTATATATATAAGGGATAGTGCTGTACAATATTTTAGCCTGTGGATGAGTGTGGTTTTTATGCTTGATAACTGTGAATAAATACTATTATGAATAACAGACTTAGATAATATGTTTAACTTTTTGAGAAGCATTTAAATATCAAGAATACATATATGATTAATAACTTTACAGTGTAAAAATCAGGCATTTTAACAAACTCAAGACAATTGATAGCAGAAAAATATGCCCGGAAAGTTGTCAATGATCGTTAACTAAGTAAAAACTTAACACTAAAGAAATAGGTATAAAGTCTAACTTTTAAAAACATTTTCTATGGGTAACTTGTAAAGAAGTAAACAAACCGAACGTATACGGACCTAGTCGCCCCTAGACATGGGAAAATCGTCTGCTTGGTAAATTTGATACTTGGTTATTTAGTTTGGTAACTGGAAACTAGACAAAAACAACAGCTTTGGAATATGGAGTAATATTGTGTTAAAGTCTTAATTGAAATTTCCGTTCTATTTATACCTCGGTTGACCAATTTACCGATTTGATTTACCTTTTACCATAAGTTACTTTGGGAATACCTAAATTACAAAAACCGGAAATGGTAGTTTTCAAACTTTGATATGTTCGGCAATTTGGTAAAGGTTGTCATGCCTCATTTAAAATGAATAACTAAGAGGCGCTCCAAATGAAAAAAAAAGAAACAAAGTCACACGCCGGCAGATCTAACTGTAGCCAAATCTGACGATGTTTGTTGATTGAAAGGAAGGCATGATGAAATGTTTAGAAACGATTAAACTGGATTTTCACATAGTATTATAGGTAAATTTAACAACAACTTAGTGCATACACACAAGAAATATACACAGCTATTAACCAGAACACTTTAAACTATGTAAACATAATTAAAAGGAATTGTGCTTTTGGGGATAATTTTCATTTCGTAGAACGAAATTGACCACAAGAATTTAGCAATTTATGAAAAGCACTACATTGTCATATTAATTTATGGTTGTATGTGTTTTGTAGTTGAAGTCGTGAGAGTTGTATCCCTTTGTGTAATATGTCACGTGCTATAATCTGTCTCTTCTAAATAAACGTGCTATGGCAGTAAATGTGTGTTTGTTGCTCTCAAGCAAATATAAGTTTAGCGGCATGGGGAGGCAAGTATACATGGTATATGTCCCCCATGTACGAAATAAGCTGGAGGACTTCAAAACGATCCCGTTTAGTGTATTGTATGTGAGCTGTTTTCCCAAAAGATGATGAATCAACTTCTAAAGTTCTAGACCACGAGGCTGCTGGCACCATTATTAAATTACGACTACGTTAAAATATTGGAATTTTCGTTCAGTAAAGTATAGCCATGATAGCGGTACCATGCATTTGACAACAGACCAGATTTTTGGATCTTTCTGTTTCATGTAAAATGTGGATGTTGAGGTGGTGTTTCCAATATTCAGAAATCAACTTTGGATTTTTTTTTGTCAACAAAAAGACAACTGTACATTTTTTGTAAGATTTAAAGAACTGTTATTAAACTACATATATATCATCGAGAGCTTTTGCAATTGTTTATTTGTCATCTGATCTTGAATGTTTCATTTGGACTCGATAGAAATGTCTACAACAACAAACAAACTTTAAACCCGTATTGGACATTAAGGAATATACAGCCGTGTTTGTTTATATGTGCAGAAAACTGAAATGTGACACCCCTATCATATTTCGAAAATTGTTGCTTAGTAATTGGATTTTTCTTTAAGACCTAGTCGGCCTGACCTATATATTATATTTGCAATGTGTATTTAGCAGGCAAAATGTATACATCTAACCGTTTTGAACGATTAAGAAATTCTACTACAGAGATGGAACGTGTGATATTTATCTCTTCGTACACTACCAAGTTACAAGGAAAACAAGGACTATAATTTCAAACATTTAATTATGAATTCAATTTGTCTCAAGTTTTTTTTAATAATCATCTGGTATGTGTGTATTGTGTATTCACCAAATTCCAGTACACAGTTGGACTGATTTGGTAGCGGATTGTCAGTAGCGTTGCGATTATAGTCATTAATAAAACTGGAGCTTTTCATATGTTTCATATTTATTTTTTTGTGAATGTGAAGTAGGAGAGATTGGACATGTTAGAAAGGGAGAATTAGTCGTATATTCTGTTACTGGCATATTCTTTAACAAATTGTCAGGTCTTTTTTTTAAAGAAAATGTAAATAAGAAAGAAGTCCTTCTTGAGCTACAAAACTTACTTATTCTATATTGTTACTGACATTTAGTAAAGGACAATATTATATATTCCAAATGAGTCTCACAACACATTTCCATGTTGATCAAATTTAAACCTTTTCAATTTAATGATAACTTTATGTTAAGAACACATTTTACCACAAACTTGCAGTATTAAAAGATATATTAGCAATTACTTGACTCTTTGTAAATCTGTCTTTTAGAATCGAGAAGAGGGGACTCATTGTCCTTCCAATATAATTTCATAATACATTTTGTTTTTAAAGGAAATATAATATTTTATGATTTATATATAATACACTGGAAAAACCTGAAGTTTTAAAAATGTAAAAAACTAAGGGACAGCAGTTATTGATCAGCAAAAGCAATATAACACAAAGATTCTAATAAGAAAGACCTGGAGTCAGCCTCCATCCCACATAAAAAAATTATAATAACAAAAAAACACATACAAACTTAATCCGCCCCTGTTCTATTTTCTATTGTAATGCATTATGATATGAATTGATATATAATAAAGAATGAAATAAATAATATATCAGCTTTAATATATATCCTAATAATCCTATATAAACAGTGTTTAAAGAACATGCAAATGATCAATCTAAATAAAAGAAATATTTGATTGAATACTTAATTGATTTTTTTTTTAAATTTAGTAAAGGTTCGAATGAAAGGAGTTACATAAATGCAGGTGCATTCGCTACTTAATTTAAAGTCAGTAATCCAATGTTTTCGTCTTTGTTTTTTTTTATCCTTGTCCAAAATTGAATGCACATGGAAATTAAGAAAATGTTTTTCCTAATGTGCCTAAAAAAAAAAAAGAAGATCTGCTTCTAATCTTGATCTTTTCTTCGATATTGACACAGATGAACGACTTCAAATGATATCTATGACAATAGAGATGGTGAGGTCTTCAATAACAGGGGTTTGCTCCTGACACAAAAATTGGTCCAATAAGGTTATGAGGATAAGCGACTTAAATAAACACTTCATAAGTGATCAACTAGACTTAGGAGCTTAGTAATTGCTCAGTAAAATTTATGAAAGAGGACACAAGTTTGTTGTAATCAAATTCTCCTACAGCTTTCAACCCAGGTCACTGACTGTTCACAAGAGGATTCCACACATGTTAAAGTTGTTCATCTGCTGTTACAAAATTGTTTGAGGATTTTTTGTCTGCAAAATTTAGTCGCCAATATTGCAATCTGGCTATTTGAGACTTTGACCTATTTTTACTACTAATGAACTACTTTTTGTGGTAATAATATAACTCGATTCTTCATAATGTAATTACTGTATTGGTATAAAAGAATAATGTCCATGAAAATATTTTGTAATCAAATGATGTCCTTTTGGGCAATATTTAATATTGAAATACTGCCTAGGACGATATTCTATCATGAATATGTTATTACGACAAAAGAAATTCATTTAACAATAATAATACCAGAATCATCCATAACATAGCTTTTATTTATACTGTGATCTATATACATGCAATTGTTATTCGTTAAGTTTCCCAAATGATATGGGTGCAGGATTTTCTCGGTTTGTTAAAGACCCATTGGTGGCCTTCGGCTGTTTTCTGCTTTTGGTCGGGTTGTTGTCTCTTTGGCACATTCCCCATTTCCATTATAGAACGAGGATGTAGGAAACTACAGGTCACCATATAGTCTTCAATGATGAGAAACATAAACTGACAGCAGGCAAACTTTAAAGGCCCTTCAATTGCATAAAGTGGAACAATTCAAAAGGAAACAAATAACATTAACCATAAAACACTTCTGGCTGGTAGCAACCAACAACTACTGCTGAACTACAGTCCAGTACAGGGTTCTTAATTTTCCCCATGAACTAATTGAAGAATGATAGTATAAGGACCAATATTTATGTGGTGTAATATGGCTGACACGTATTTTAACCCATGTGGAAACATTGTTTGAAATGGGATTTTTATTGTTTAGTTTTTATTTCTTTGGGTTGCAGTCTTATTGAGGTTAATAACACTTTAATTGTCCCCCGATCGACATGTTGCGGGGGACATAGAAATACCTGGTGTCCGTCCTTCCGTCCTGTCTTGTTAGCGCCCTTACATGTACACTTTTAGCCAGATTTTTATTAAACTTACATCATAGATTTATATCAGCAATGTCTCTGATGAGTTTGAAAAATTAGTGACGATCAATTATTTTTAAGAGTTATGCCCCTTGGAAACATTCATTATATGGAAAATTTTATCATTAGTACCGAGTACTCTCCATGTGTGCAATTCTTGACAGATTTTTATGAAGTTTGTATCATAGGTTTATATCAGCAATGTCTCGGACGAGTTCAAAAATCATTGCTGATCAATCATTTTTAACTCTAAGAAATATTAGTTATATGGAAAATGCATTGTTAGTGCTAACATGTGTATAATTTTTGCCAGATTTTTATTAAACTTATATACTGTGAAAGTACTTTTATTCGTGGTCATCAATTTTCGTGGTTTGAAAAAAAGTTACATGTTCGTGGGTTCTCAAATTCATGGATTTTAGTTTTCTGAAGAAGAAAAAATGAGTGAAGAATTTGAAGCCATCAGAAAACAAAAATTTTTGAGAATAGTCATATGTTGTTTGATAATAATTTGTGGGACATTGCAAAATAAGGTGTTCATTTTCACTTACTTGATTGTCTTTCATTACTGACAACATTCATCATTTTTTTATGAAATAATTGCTTTATCAAAGATTTATAACAGTAATGTCTCAGACAATTTTGAAAATATTAAAGTGCCAATCAAACATACAGACTACCAATTAAATCTAATGAAAAAATGAACATGCTGTGTTTAGAATGATAAAAAAACACTTGAAACACCAATTCCTGTATTTAGATTGGTTGATTTCTGAGTCTGATTATGATAATCATGATCAAATTTTTTTTTCTAAAAGGCCTATAATTATCGTCCTGGTACCTGTTTTGACGCGGACCAGAAATGACGCACCGATTTAGTTTTCGGTTTTATATTTCTAAACAAAAGCCGTGACGTCATCAACATTTGCTGTTCATAACGTTATGGTGAAGGTCGTCTTACTACAACGAAGATGCCTAAAACTCCGCCCAGAAAGGTAATTATTACTTAAAATATTATAGACAATGTAATTTCCGCCATTTTATTAAGGTCAAAAACATCCTACCTTTCCCCGAGTGATTATCAGTCCTATATCCACTTTGGTCAATAAAAGTATGTAGCCGTCTGCTTCCTCATTTTGTGTTTTTCAAGTCACGTGACTGTCATGTGATGTGTTTTTACATTTTAGCGGGAATCACTGTAGAACAAATGATCGTCGCTTATATAATTTTCTATGGTTTATCGACTTTTTTCATTCGATGTATGAAGTATACATTTATAATTGTATTATTGCCAATGCTGTTTTATTAATAAAATTACTTTTTATTGTCAAATATATTGGAAGATATATTACTTTCATAAATTTTGAACAATTATATATTAAATTTGAATAAAATTATAGGTAACAATTAAATTGAGATTAAAAAAATAATTTTTATTTTTTTTTTATTTTCAGAAATTTACTAAAGAGTACAGAAAATATTCACCATCACAATTGAATAATGCATATCAGATAGTAAAAGAACAAGGCATTCCTATCCGGACAGCGGCACGTACATATGAAGTACCTGAAGCTACTCTACGACATAGACTGAGTGGCTATGTAAATCCTGAAGCTGTCAAGTCCGGACCAGCACCTTTATTTAATGAAGAAGATGAAGCAGATCTTGTTAATCACTTGAAGCTCATGGCTAGAGTGGGATATGGTTACAGCAGGTCAGAAGTAATAGATATTGCAACAAATTATGCCATTTACAAAGGATTAAGGGACAGTGAACATCCATTATCAACAAAGTGGTATAAAAACTTCATGGCTCGTTGGCCAGATTTAAAAATCATTAAACCAAGAAGTCTTGAAATGCAGCGTGCAAAAGCTACATCTGAGGTCAATGTGCAGAACTATTACTCTGAACTTCACAAAATTTTGGAAAAATATGATCTGTTTGATAAACCAGAAAGAATTTACAATGTTGATGAAAAAGGAATATGCACTAACCATAAGTCTCCATATGTTATTGCAGCTACAGGATCTACACCACCAGCTATTACTTCAGGGGACAAACACTTGGTCACAGTCTTAGGGTGTGGAAATGCACAAGGCCACAGTGTGCCACCGTTCTTCGTATTTCCTGGTAACAGGATGAGACAAGAACTTCTTGAAAATAAGTCAACAGATGCAGACGGTGATGTTTCAGAAAGCGGCTGGTCTAATACAGAAATTTTCCGCAAATACATGGAGAATCATCTTTTGAAATACATACCCCACAGAACATCTGATGTTCCAGTATTAATTCTTTTTGATGGACATAAATCCCATATTGCATTGGAACTAATTGAATGGGCAAGAAAAGAAAATATTATTTTGTTTGTCTTACCTGCACATACAAGCCACATTCTCCAACCTATGGATGTAGGATGCTTTGGACCTTTTGAAAGGATTTTTAATAATGAGTGCCACAAATTTATGCGGCAAAACTGTTCACAACCAATAACACGTTATAATATATGTGGTCTGGCTTGTAAGGGTTATCTTCATGCACTTTCACCTAGCAATTTGCAAAGTGCATTTAGAAAAACTGGGATTTACCCGTATGATCCTCACATGGTTGATCGTTCCAATTTTGCACCAGCACAAGTGTTCATTCAAGAAGATTCCATAGAAGAAACATGTGAAACTGAAGACAGAGAACCTGTACATGAAATTGAACCAATTGAGAAAGATATAGATGTACCTGTTGAAGAAATTGAAATTAACATAAACAATGTAGAAGAAAATGAACATGCTTTAACAATCAATGAAACACAAGAAAAAACAGTGTCGGAGAAGAATGACACTTTTTTTGAAGATCGAGAGAAAAACCTATTCAAAAAGAAACCTAGAACTAAACAAAGACGCTATCTGAGCAAAGTTGTAAGTGGGAAGGCAATTACAGAGAATGATACAATTGAAAAAATTAAAGAACATAAGAAGAATGTAAGCAGAAAACCAAGTCAGAAAAGTCAGAAAAGTAAATCAAATGAGAAAGGAAAACAGTTAGCTAAACCTTCAAAATCATCAAAACAAGTGAAGTCAAAAAGAGTTCCAAAAAAGACAATAACAGTTGTTGATGAGCCGTGTGCTGGTACTTCTGGACTTAATTTGCGAGGAGGGCCCATAAGTATTGATGATTCAATGGACTCTGATGTAATAGAAGATGAAGAACCTTGCTGCGTATGCAAACTTACTGGCCTACCTCAAGAACTAAGGAACTGTAATTTTATATTGTTTGCCAATTGGGGACAGTGTACACTCGAAAATTGTGGTCATTGGGTACATCTGAAATATTGTTGTGACAAAACCGTGCTTAGGAGGCATGACACTTTTTTATGTCCTTGTCACAGTACCTCAACAGAGGAATAAGAGAACCCATAGCTATAACATTCTATTTTTATCAATCAAGGGAACAATATAAACAATTAATATTAAATTCACATTGCTTTTGTGTTACTATTATTAAAGTGAATGAAAATCTCAAAAGTTGTTAATAAAATTGAATTTGTTAACAGTGTTAACTTTAAAGAATCCAGACTGAAGCAATTTTTCGATTATCAGGTACGTGTAAGTGGTTTTTACTGGTTTGTTTACAGTGCGTCATTACTGGTACCCATCATTAGTTGGCAGTCCGTTCGTAATGTTAGCAAACATGATTTTTATTGCTGTTACCGTTTCAAATATCAACTGCTTAATGACTGAAATATATTAATAAGTTATCAATCTTTTATTCCATTCCGTTTTTCTAATTCTTTTAAATGGTGGATTAAATGCAGAGAAAAAAACAACCTTAGGTGCGTCATTACTGGTTCCTCGGGGATATTTACAATTTTTATAGAGCTTGATATACTGTGTAGACACCTACTGTAAAGACCCTATTTTAACCTCAAAATATCTTTTGTTTTTTATGCTGTTGGTTTGCTGTCGCATGTCATGTCTCTTGATGTATATCGCACATCTTCTGTTATTCATATTTCAGTTATTGGAATGCAAAGAATACAATGTATATTGAAAGTCATTTATTTATTTATAAATATATAAAGTAACTAATATAATATAAGCATCTATCAAACAATATGGTCAGATTGTATAAAAAACAAATCAAATATAAACATTTCAATCTTGAAACTCTATGGGTTGATGAAAGCATTGAGAAATACAATGATATGCAATGACAAATGCTGAATGTTTCATGAGAGTTTGTTTAGTGATCAAGATAGAATGACAATATATTTGACCACCACAACCACAAAGATACACATGTACTCATAGATACATAATATAAAAATATGGAAATATGGTATGATTGCCAATGAGTCCAAATGATGTGAATGAAAGTAATTATAGATCACTATTATTTCAGCTGACTGAAAGTTCTTACTTTAACATGTTTATCTCTTAAAATATTTGGGTATTTAAGAATGGAAGCGATTGAAAAAAAAACCTTGTACATTTTTTTTAAGTCTGAGTATTTACATAATAAATGAGTATATCTTTAATAAAAGGTATTTCCTCTTTCAAAATGCTTAAAATCAGAATGAAATAACAGGTTAAACTTTAACAATTTCACAAAAATAATTAAACATACAGAATAAAAAAGACTCAAAGTAAAATAAACTGCCAAAAACATAAATATGCATCGAATACAGATTTACAGCAGTCATACAAAAAAAACTTGAAATGCAGCAAATTCTAATAAAAAGTTTTCAGTTCCAAGCTAGGATTTTCCACCAAAATATTTGACTAATAACTTTCATTTAATGTTCTTTCAAAATAATTTTATTTGCAGTCAGTTTTACTCAAATTATTGTGTAAACAAGAAATTTTAAAAGGACGGAGGAACAGACTTTTGCTATATCCTTCCTCCCAGTAAGCTGGAGATTAAAATATTTGGGAAGTTGAAAATATACGTATATATTATGGTTAAATTAAAATGTTATATCAAATTGAATAATTAATCTGCTAAGTGTTAAACAGTATTTCATAACAAATTATGTATCATGAACAATATTATCACAGACTTTGAGACAAAATGGATGATGAAGTATGATAAAATTCTTGGTTATATTTGATTATGTGTCAAGGATGAGGACAAACGGGAGTTACCATTTGATTTTTATGGGAGGGGGGGAGGAAAAATTTTGTCCTGCATTTTCTTTTAGTTGTTATCTCTGTCCTGCCTTTTTAATTTTCACTCTTTTTTTGGTCCTGCATTTTTTTATTATTAGTTTATCCTGCCTTTTTTTTTGCCAAGTTGCTCATCCTGCCTTTTTTTTTTACTCAAAACTCCTGTCCTGCCTTTTATTTTCAAATTTCATCCTAGCCCCCCCTCCCCTAAAAATCAAATGGTAGCTCCCTGATAGCTTACCCTTTCAATATGTGTATTTCTAGTTTTCTCCTATTACAGGAACTAGATATTTTCCCATTAATTTTGTCTGTTACTAATACAATAGTTTACCCCTTAAACATGTTAAATATATGAATTTCAACTTTGTACATAATTATATGAAGGATATTGTTTTCCCATTAATTTCGTCTGTTACTAGATTCAATGGTTTACCCCTTGCAGTAGATGAACGTTCAACTTTGTACTTAATAATGTGAAATATTCCCCCCCCCCCCCCCTCCCCATTAAATTTCTGTCACAAACAAGAGAGGAAGTTGGATGTCACAGATCAACAGATCAAATGTTATTTATGTGAGTTAATTTGCAAAAAAATAAAGTCTGTCATTGTAAAGCTGTGGAATGTCAAATTCTTTTATTGCACACAAAAAAGTATATATGATATTTTTAAAGCTAGCAATTCTGATTTGAAATCTCTTTCAATAATGGTCGCCTATTAAGCATAAAAAAGATACACTAATATTGAAAGCTCACAACTCTTCTATGAAATCTCTTTAAAGAATGGTCTCTTTGTATGCATACTAAGTTTATTAGAGTACAAAACTAGGCTTTCTACGATATAAATTTAAGAAATCTACTTTTATTTTTAAACATAGATAACTTGTTATATATTTCTAATGCAATGAAATATCAATAACACATACACGATATAATAAACAGAAATTAACATATATTTAAAATATAAGTTATTTTGCACCAGACTGACATTTTGCATTGGAATAAAAAAAAAGACATGTTGTCAATAACAACCAACAATAACAAGGAAATATAAATATTTCAAAAAATAAAAAATAATCTTGCATTGATATGAACTATCCTATGGAGGCTTTAAAAAGACAAAATATTTGGTTATTAAAAACACTCCGTGCTTGTAAAGCCCTTTTCTTTACCCACACTTTTAATCTGTTAATACACACATCTGTGTTATTAACAGATTAAATGTGGAGCAGTTCGCCAAATTTTACATTTTATTGTGTTTTTGTTTCTTGTATAAAAAACTGTTTCCCAGGTTTTTTGTATCAAATGGTAAAAAAAGTGAATAATGAAAATTGTGCAGGTCCGTGGAAAATCTAGAAACATTTTAAGTATGGCCTAAATTGAAAATAGAAATATACTAGAAAACAAAATGTTTTTCTTATCCTTATTTATATTTAGTGAAGACAAAAAAACAACAACCATAAATAGATATTTCATGTATTGCATTGATAAAAAGTGTATAAAACAAAAGTTCACTTGCATTGTTTACTTTTAATAGAAAAACATAGATAAATATATATATTATAATCTCATGCTACAAGTCAAGTAAAAAACAAGCACAAAACTGCATAAAAAAATTCCGTCATGAACAAAACAATGGTCAAATTAAGAAGTATAATAAAATAAAAACAAAGATTCTCCTTATATCTATAGCATATGGTTAAATAATATAAGTTAATATATAATTTAACCACAGTAACACCATTTATGTAGATAATTTCTCATTTTCAGTTGTCAGATTTTTATGGCTGAAATTTGTGGATAATACAAGAAAGTCAGGAAATCTTAATTTTAGTTAGATATCATTTATTTATATGTAAATAAAAAATAAATTTAGTTTAGTTAAAAGTTCACTGGTCTATAACATGTTAGCTAACTGACACTCAAAGCTCAATCTCATTGGAAACCTTGAAAAAAAATATATTTATATTTGTTAGTTAGGAAATATTTAGTTCAATTTTCAATGTACAGTTATTTACCGATTGTTACCATTAAACTTGCTCAACTGAAACCCTTCATGACAAGAGGTTTTGTTTTGATTAGACAGGGATAAATTATATCAGAATGTAAAGGATTATGGGTAATTTCATTATTTGTACCCCAAAATGAGAATAACATCCCGTCATTGGCTAAATTTCCAATGTTTAGGACATTTATAACCAACCATAATGTTTTGTGAAGGCTTTCAAATATATTACCCAGAATGCATAATATTCTAAAATAGACAATTCAGTTTACACAAATTAAACTCATTCTTTGTCCTGATATCAAAAACATAGATTTTGAATTATGAAAGTTTGGTTGGCATGTGTTTTACTGTATTTTAATGGATTATTTTTACCACATTGTATAATGTTTGACTGTTACAATTTATATTCTTATTTCTTTGGTAAAATCACATTTCAAAGAAGAAAAATATCTTTAAATGCCCTCTTATGAAACTAAATTGCTAGCAAAATTGTTTGTAAATTTCATACAAAAAACTTTTTTGAAACCATGTCACTGAAAAAAACATTTTTATTTGGCTTTGCACTGAATAAAAATCACATTTTTGTAGCATAAAGGGGACTATGTCTACCATCTTTGTTGTAGTCTTTATATCTGACAGGAAGAGAGTCTTTTTCTGTTGTAAAACCATCATTATTGTAAGCATAGTGAGGATTAGTAAAGGCCTCTGAAGAACCTTCATTCCACGTGTCTCCCGAGGTACTTCCTTCGGAACTTGATTCATATATTTCTGGTACTACACCATCATTTTGATCCCGTACAAAATTCAAAAACACCTAAAATATTAAATGAAGATTTGTCACACATCTTCTTGATGTAGTTTTTACTAACAGTATGTTGTGAAGATAATTTTGTCATAAACAATATGTATAACACAAATTATAGTGTTTCATAAAACAAAAAAGCCACAAATGTCTTTACAAAAGTAGGACAAAATCTTCTCTTGTAATACACATTCATTAAAAGGACACTTTTTAACATGATTTATCTTTTTTATAGTTTAAGCCTTTATGAACCACCATTATTAAAATCTAAGGGTTGCTCTGTTTTGGTTTTTGATTTTATGCTGATTATAAGGTTATTTCATTATGATAAGTGACAACAAAATATAATAAGAACTTGTCATGATCTGGATATGAAAATAATATTTTCTAAAACTTTTTATGTGACCAACAACCATATTAAATGATCACTTATTGTAAACCAACTTTTTTTTTGCAGATACTTAATTTGGCACCAAGCCCTTTCTAGCAGATTTAAGGACAATTTATTGTCATGATTTTCTTATTTTCTTGATGTATTTATATAAGGAAGATCCGTGTTTTACTAAATCACAAAGGTGTACATTCGCGATATCTTTCTAATCACAAAAATTAGTTGGTTTACAGTATATACACTTACATTGTCAAGCGTTGTTTGTGAAACGGAGTAATGCATGATGTTGTATTGATGTTTTATTTGTTCCAGATGTACAAATATATCCGATACTGAAGATCTGTGTTTTGGAATCTCAATCTGTAATACACCATGGTGATCCTCCTAGAAATAAAAAAAAAAACCAAAACCTTACCAATATTTCAATAAAATATGCAAAATGAAAATGAAATTTGATAATATTCAAGTACGTATAGTTTATATAGACTTTGATAATAAAGATATAGAAGTAGATTCATGCAGCACTGTAATAGTTAATTAATTTTAACTGATCAAGTGTGGCTCAAAATACTTTGCAAGAAAAGGATATCTCCTAATTAGCGAATATGAATATAACCGAATATTATAATAATATAATTTTGAATTAAAGATATGTGTATTTTAAAGATTTCAAAACTGTAATGATCAGAAAATGATGAAAATCCGAAGATACATAGATACATAGTATAACCATTTTTGGTTTGTCTTAAGCGTGTTTTAGTGAACCGTTGTATAGCGAAACATTGAACCCTCTCACAATTATTATCACACACTAAATCAATTAACGCCGGCTATCGCAGTAAGAAAACGACTCCTAAGAAAAGAACATCGTCGTCTAGAGAGATTGAATTAGGTAGCGCCACAATAGTCAGCGACGGCAACAGGCTACACAATTTATCGCAGGTTTCAACACAACTGTTCAAAGTTAGTGATGGGGAAAAATAGTTATTTCTTTCTGGTATTGTCAGTTAAGCAAATCAACCATATAATTTGCAATTGTATTTCAATCGCCAGTATACCACGTATAGTCTGAGTAAATTGGTTTACAACAGGTTTATAAGATGAGTTTATTGTTAAAGACTAAAGATAATTCAGCTATCTAATTAAATTGCATATTAAAAGAATAGTTTTTTTCTATCTTGAAGTTAAATAAAGTTATTGAGTGATTCGGTTTTTATTAGGTTGAAGTTAGACATGCTGTCAGGTAAACAAGTCATCAAGTCGACTAGTTAACTGGCCTACTAATATGAAAATAAGGGTAAGGTAAGGGTAAAGGTTACGTTTAGGGGTAAGGATAAGGGTTAATGTTAGGGTAATGGATAGGGCTTTGGTAAGGGTAAGGGGTTAGGGTCTAGATTATGGTTAGAGTTAGATTAAGGTTAGAATTTAGTAAATATTAGTGTAAAAGGTAAGATTAGTGGTAAGAGTTATTTTAGGGTAAAGTTTAGGATTGCCATATAAATTATAAAAAAAATAAAAATGAATTAAAATATCAAATAATAAGTATTTGTCCTGTTGATGAGCCTACCTGTCGAACTATAAACTTTTTGTTTTTCTGATTCTTTTCAAAAAAAATGAATTGATATAAAAATTAAATTATATTTGACTTATCGACTTGCTGACCAGCCTAACTGTAAAATTGGTGTTGTTATGATTTTTTTAATTGTTGCCAAATAATTGAAAAGAACATAATAATGAATTGATATAAAGAATAATTGATATTTGTCATGTTGACTTGTCGACTTGCTGACCAGTCGACATGTCGACTAGTTAACCTATTAACTGTTTACCTGTCGACTTGTTTACAATCTGACTGCTAGACTGTTCACTTGTCGACTTGCTGGGCTGTTGACTTGCTTATTGAGACAATGGGATGACCTACCTTTCATTTACATACAGTCTTTATTTAGTACCCATTAATGTCAGTAGAGTGCTAGAATCCTAAGGATTATTCCCAATTTATTATATTTTCTTATCAATTAAATACCAGTTGTAAATGTTTGATTTAGCTATATGTAAGTTTGTCTGTAGGGATATGTAATTGTCAGATGTCTTGTGTTGTTTTAGAAGGCCCCTAGATGAACCATTGAAAGGAAAATTTCTTTTTCAACATATCCTCGTTTCTAAAATCAACAGGTCAAATTGTCCGAACTTCTTCACTATTTATCATTTTATGTCGAACCTACCTTCTTACCTACCAATACTTATTTTTGTCTCCTGTTTGACAATTTCAAGAATTAATCAGCATCAATCAAATATCTTTTGGGAAATTGTGTATTGTAACCGATATGAGAAATGTCAGTATATCAGCGTGGACCGGATCATCGGCTACTCCATGGCGATCATATTAAATTTTCACTTGTTCAGAATATTTTTGAAATATTGCTTATACGCGTTAGATCGTTTGAGCATGCAAAACATTGACAATATGAAAGTCAACAGTAAATCCTTTTAATGAAGCAGCGATTTAAAAACTTGGAAATTCATTTGAAGGTATTCATTATTTAATTATCTCGACGTTTGGTTCTTTTGTATTTCCCATCTTCATATCTAATGCATGTTTATAAATATGTTATATCATACAGGTTTGTCATCACCATTTTTAAACACTAGTTGTTAGGACCATGAGGAGTTTTGTATTTCATCACAGGCAGCTGATACTGTAAGTGCTGGAGCAATGACTAAATCGGAAAAAAAATATGTTTCCAAGACAATCTGATGTAGATGTGCAGTTTTCGAATACTGGTGCAACTGCAGCTAGCGTCAACGCTAATGTATATCATCCTCATTGGATTTATTCGCAAGCCCACTTACAGCTTCCGTCTGGTTATTTGACTGATAGAAGAATTTTTCGTATGTATAATCAGATAGCACTCAATCTTCCATTGGTACAGGGTGATTCTGGAACATGCATATATATAGTAAATCATCCGGGTCACAAAAATGGATGCATTGGAATGGCTGTTGCATTTCGTGAAGGACTAACATTAGTCACTCCGTTGAAAGACATTCTTAAAAGAATGAATATATCATAAAACTTGTGTGACTAAATACATGAATGTTCATCTGGTCAAGTTATTTGGGCCTTACTTTATTCGTAGTTGATTGTAATTTTTATTCTTCGTACATGAACTGTTTTCACACGACGTTGTAAAATAAGCACATTAAATGGATACATTAAAACATTGTTAGTTTTCTTTCTTTTAATTTCACCCACTTCCACGAAAATTGTATTGTTTGTATTGTTTGACATCTCCTCAACTTCTCTTCTTCTTGAATTTTCTACTTTTTTGTTTTATCACACGATGAACATTTTGGACATATAAATATTGATACATAAAGAAATATTTTGCTTTTTGCGTAATTTTCTGAAGGTTTTTTTAAAAATTGCACTTTTCTGTAACTATAGAACAATTAACATTTAATGTGCACCTGATTCAGAACTCTGTTATTCTGTTCTATTATGTTCATACGATTTTTAGAAAAAAAATTATCAAACAAGAACCAGCAAAGACCTTTTTTTAATCATTGCGAAATTTCGGAATGCTAATTATTGACCTTTGACCTTGATTTAACAAAAATTGCACCATACAAATTATTGACGACCGGGCAAAACAGTAATTACAGATAATAAGCTATCGAATGATATATAATATAGCCGTATGTTAGGTGAGTGCATTAAAGTCGTTAACTAAGGGACTTTTTGAAAAATGACACTCTCCTAGTAACTACATACTTATCCGTCAAGAAGTTATTTGGGGTAATCAGATGATCAAATTTCAGAGAGAAAAAAAAACACTACTTTTCCAAGACTGGATATACAGCAATATCATTCATGTAAATGATACTATTGATGAAAATGGCGTCGTTTCAGAAAAACGTACGAGTTTAACTAAAAACGAAATCAAATCAAATAGCTGAATTCTCAAAATTAAGAATAGCAATCCAAAAAGACTGGTTTAAAATATTAATTGAAGAAAGTGCTAGAAAAACTAGAGTTTTAACACACAACTTACTGTAAATAAGTGAAAAGAATAATTGCTAAAACTAGAAAAAATAGATTCAAAGCAAATTTATACAATTTTAATAGAATATGATAAAGAAGTTCCAATTTGGGTATCTTTAATTGAACATAATATTAAATTGTGAAAATGTACAAATTGAAGCTCAATATATGCAAAAATTTATTCATAAATTTTTAGAAGATAATAATCTAAAAAAAGTGCAGATGGAAACTTTACACTTTATTCTTCAAAACAAAGTGTTATTAAAACAATGGAAAATAAGCCTGTACTCTAACTGTATTTTTTTAAAACCTAACAGAAGACTAAACATTTTTTTGTAACTTGCCACTTTTTAGTTGAGTTTTAGTTGCGTTATATATAAAAAAAACAAGAAGATGTGATACGATTGCCAATGAGACACTCTCCACAAGAGACCAAATGACACAGAAATTAACACCTATATGTCACTGTACGGCCTTCAACAATGAGTAAAACACATACCGCATAGACAGCTATAAAAGCCCCGAAATGAAAAATGTAAACCAATTCAAACTAGAAATCTAACGGCCTGATTTATGTACAAAAAATTAACGAAAAACACATATGATATACAGCAAACAAACGACAACCACTGCATTACAGGCTCCTCACTTGGCGCAGGCACTTACAGAATATGACGAGGTTCAACTAGTTTGAAGGCGCGCCAACCCTCCCCAACCTTGACAGTGGTGTAACAGTACAAAATCAAAACAAACAATAAAAAACAGTTGAAAAGGGCTTTACTCGTCATATTGATGCAAAGTAGAAATACAAGTAACAAAACACAAAGTGGACGTGGCAGGGTACTTGTACATCCCCTCAACAAAAAGACACTAAGTACAGATCTGAGAGTACTCGTAGCTTCTGAAAGCTAGCTCAAAGCCAATACCAATTAATAAAACAAATCATGCATCTTAGACGAATATATCAATCAGTACACACCCAGCATCCAATGAATTTATTGTAAAGACGTCCATAACATTCAGAGAAAAACATGAGCTTGTGCAATGTCAAGATACAGGTATCAACAGATTGTCGAGCCATGAATGTGCATATGTATATGAAAATAATATTTATTTTGATTTTGATTTACTCATAACAAAATCAATATTATAACCAATTAACATTACTAAAAGTGAAATAATGAATCATGAACTATTTTTATTAACGGTATCTGCAAAATTACAGACATATTGAATGTTTGATAATGGAACACATTTTACATTCAAAGCCGCTTGTTGAAAATCAGACGGTCATGTTTCCACATGGGGATTGCATTTAATCGTTTTGCATTTTTCAGTAACAAAAAAGTCGAACAAAATGACTCTGGTTTTATAATAAATCTTAATTTATTAATTAAGCTTATTTAATTTAAGGTCTTATTTTATGAACAAAAATTTCAGAAATCTGTTTTTGTAAAGAAAAAAAGTAACACCACTTGGAAAATATATTTTTATAACTAATGGATATCATTTGTCAATATAAATCATACAATGTGAGTGTTTGTCCTTGCCGCTCTAAAAATACG